TCCATAGGAACCTGGAATGTAAGATCCATGAATCAAGGCAAGCTAGACGTAGTCAAAAAAGAGATGACAAGACTGAACATCGACATCTTAGGAATCAGCGAACTAAAATGGACAGGAATGGGTGAATTTAACTCAGATGACCATCAGGTATACTACTGTGGGCAAGAATCCCTCAGAAGAAATGGAGTAGCCTTCATAGTTAATAAAAGAATAGGAAAAGCAATACTGGGATACAATCCCCAAAATGACAGAATGATCTCAATTCAAATTCAAGGCAAACCATTCAATATTACAATAGTCCAAATCTATGCCCCAACCACTGGTGCTGAAGAGGATGAAATTGACCGGTTCTATGAAGCCCTACAGCATCTTATAGAATTAACACCAAAAAATGATGTCCTTATCATCATGGGGGATTGGAATGCTAAGGTAGGAAGCCAAAAGATAACCGGAATAACAGGCAAGTTTGGCCTTGGAGTACAAAATGAAGCAGGGCACAGGCTAATAGAATTTTGTCAAGAGAATACGATGGTCATAACAAACACTCTTTTCCAACAACCCAAGAGACGGCTCTACACATGGACATCACCAGACGGTCAACATAGAAATCAGATTGACTATGTGCTCTGCAGCCAAAGATGGAGAAGCTCTATACAGTCAGTAAAAACAAGACCAGGAGCTGACTGTGGCTCAGATCATGAGCTTCTCGTTGCAAAATTTAGGCTTAAATTGAAAAAAGTAGGGAAAAGCACTAGGCCACTCAGGTATGAACTAAATCATATTCCTGATGAATATACAGTAGAGGTGACAAATAGATTTAAGGAATTAGATCTGATAGACAGAGTGCCTGAAGAACTATGGATGGAAGTTCGCAACATTGTACAAGAGGTAGCAACTAAAACCATCCCAAAGAAAAAGAAATGCAAGAAAGCAAAATGGCTGTCTGAGGAAGCTTTGCAAATAGCTGAGGAAAGAAGGGAAGCGAAAGGCAAAGGAGAAAGAGAAAGATACACCCAATTGAATGCAGAATTCCAGAGAGTAGCTAGAAGAGATAAGAATGCCTTCTTAAATGAACAGTGCAAAGAAATAGAAGAAAACAACAGAATAGGGAGGACCAGAGATCTCTTCAAGAAAATTGGAGATATGAAGGGAACGTTTCATGCAAAGATGGGCATGATAAAGGACCAAAATGGCAGGGACCTAACAGAGGCAGAAGAGATTAAGAAGAGATGGCAAAACTACACAGAAGAACTATACAAGAATGAGCTTAACGTCCCAGATAACCACAATGAGATGGTCACTGACTTCTAACCAGACATCCTAGAATGTGAAGTGAAATGGGCCTTAGAAAATCTGAGCAACAACAAAGCTAGTGGAGGTGACAGTATTCCAGCTGAGCTATTCAAAATCTTAAAAGACGATGCAGTAAAAGTGCTACACTCAATTTGCCAGCAAATTTGGAAAACTCAACAGTGGCCACAGGATTGGAAAAGGTCAGTTTACATTCCAATTCCAAAGAAAGGCAATGCCAAAGAATGTTCAAACTATCGCACCATTGCACTCATTTCACATGCTAGTAAAGTTATGCTTAAAATCCTACAAGCTAGACTCCAGCAGTATGTGGATCGAGAACTACCAGAAGTACAGGCAGGATTTCGAAGAGGCAGAGGAACTAGAGATCAAATTGCCAACATACGCTGGATCATGGAGAAAGCTAGGGAGTTCCAGAAAAACATCTACTTCTGCTTCATTGACTATGCTAAAGCCTTTGATTGTGTGGATCACAACAAATTGTGGCAAGTTCTTAAAGAGATGGGAATACCAGACCATCTTATTTGTCTCTTGAGAAACCTATATGCAGGTCAAGAAGCAACAGTGAGAACTGGACACGGAACCACTGATTGGTTCAAAATTGGAAAAGGAGTCCAGCAAGGCTGTATACTGTCGCCCTGCCTATTTAACTTATATGCAGAGCACATCATGAGAAAGGCAGGGCTAGATGAAACAAAAGCTGGAATTAAGATTACCGGGAGAAATATCAACAACCTAAGATATGCAGATGATATCACTCTAATGGCAGAAAGTGAAGAGGAGCTAAAGAGCCTCTTGATGCGGGTGAAGAAGGAGAGTGCAAAAGTTGGCTTGAAACTCAACATTAAGAAAACCAAAATCATGGCATCCGGCCCTCTCAATTCCTGGCAAATAGATGGGGAAGAAATGGAGGTAGTGACAGATTTTATTTTTCTGGGCTCCAAGATCACCTCAGATGGGGACTGCAGCCAAGAAATTAAAAGACGCTTGCTCCTGGGGAGGAAAGCTATGGCAAATCTAGACAGCATACTAAAAAGCAGAGACATCACCCTGCCAACAAAGTGCGTATAGTCCAGGCCATGGTTTTCCCAGTTGCAATGTATGGCTGTGAAAGTTGGACCATAAGAAAGGCTGAGCGCCAAAGAATTGAGGCCTTTGAACTATGGTGCTGGAGAAGACTCCTGCGAGTCCCTTGGACTGCAAGGCGTTCAAACCGGTCAGTCCTAGAAGAGATCAACCCCAGCTGCTCTTTAGAAGGCCAGATCCTGAAGTTGAAACTCAAATACTTTGGCCACCTAATGAGAAGGAAGGACTCACTGGAGAAGGGCCTAATGCTGGGAAAGATTGAGGGCAATAGAAGAAGGGGACGACAGAGAATGAGATGGCTGGATGGAGTCACTGAAGCAGTAGGTGTGAATTTAAATGGACTCCAGAAGATGGTGGAGGACAGGAGGACCTGGAGGAGCGTTGTCCATGGGGTCGCGATGGGTCGGACACGACTTCGCAATTAACAACAACAACAATTTATTTAGTGCAGGGGTGTCAAACTCAATTTCATTGAGGGCCGCATCAGCATTGCGGTTGCCCTCAGGGGGCTGGGTGGGTGTAGCAAGGGTGGGTGTGGTCTACTGGGTGGGCATGGATGGAATGGGTGTGGCCTACTGGATGGGCGTGGCCAGCTCTACACCATTCGCATCAAGGGTGCCTGTGGGGACCTGGGCAAGAGTGGGACAGATCTGAGGGTCTCTGACAAAGGAGGTGGGACCAGGGCATGTGCCAAGGCATGGTCCACTGGAGGAGCCTCACTGTTCCTCTCAGGCCATGCAGTGGGGGGGGGGGCTTATGGAGCTAAGACTGAATGTGTTTCAGCATAGATGGACACCACAAAATTGTACATTAGCTCCTGGCTGGCCTGGACACGGGCAAGGCAGAGGGGGCCGTTCCCTCATTGTTTCCAGGATGGCTTCGTGGGCCACATTAAACCACTTTGCGGGCTGCATCCAGTCCCTGGGCCTTGTGTTTAACATGTCTGATTTGGTGTATGGCAGGAGGCACCCATGTACTATATCAATAGGAGTCAAACTTAGCTTAGTAGTGTATTTTTCCTTCAGTGTGAAATCCAAGTTTGTTATTGCTTAATAAATGACATCTCTGCTAGAATTTCATGCAGGCTGGTTTGTTTTTAGATTGATTTATATTGGCTTAAGGCAGTGGTTCTCAACCTTTCTAATGCCGCAACCCCATAATACAGTTCCCCATGTTGTGGTGACCCCCAACCACTTATACATCACCGGGTGTCAAGGGCGTGGCCAAAGAAAAGGGGAAAAAAATGGCGGACAGCCTTGTTTGGCGACCCCCGTGAAATGGTCGTTCGACCCCAAATGGGGTCCCGACCCACAGGTTGAGAACCACTGGCTTAAGGGAAGAGAAACTTAAGTTAATTTAGAGCTGATGCACTTTTCTGTCTTATTTTATCTGAACCCACCACAAAGCTGTGACCAATAAAAGACCTGTGTTCCACACATTTATTTACTTTTCGCATTTCTGAGCATAAACATAAAATATAAATTGTAGCTCCATGCAGATGTGCGTATGTGTATTGTTCCCATCATCAATGCATTGACATGCTACTGGAGATTAGACTGCCTTTAGTAGCTCCTGTGCAAAGATGGTGGCCTGCCAAGCATTTGTTGGAGATGAGCTCATGCCTTCTGTTGTAGTGGAGTGCCAGACTGTCACCTGGATCCATTCTCTAAATGGCTTCATAAGCCTGGCCTGGCATAGAACCTTTGATATAGTGCAGGGGTAGGCAACCTTGGCTCTTTTATGACTCGTGGACTTCAACTCCCAGAATTCCTGAGCCACCTTGTCTGGCTCAGGAATTCTGGGAGTTGAAGTCCACGAGTCATAAAAGAGCCAAGGTTGCCTACCCCTGATATAGTGGTTAAGGTGCATCAGGGTAGGAACCCGGCAACTGTGAAAACCAATTGGGAGACTTGGACCAATCCCTCTTTCTGAAATTTAGGAAGGAGTCAGTGGAAAAACACTTCTGGAAATCTTTGCCAAGGAAACTGTGGGGACTTGTCCATACAATCACCAGGAGTTAACATTGACTTGAAGGCCTGTGCGTGCACCCCTCACCATCACACACAATCACTGGCCAGCAGTGATACCACATAAGGGACAAGAGAGTTTAAAGTCTAAAGTGATTGTGTAATAATTGTATATCTTTCTTTTCACTTATCCCCCCTAAAGGAAAAAAAGGATGGAGGAATTGGTGAATCAGCATGGGGAGTTTCCATGTAGAAGGAGATAATTTCTGAATATTTTCACTCACTCTTCCAGAATTCTTTGGAAGGGGCAGAGTATAACTCTGCAATAAAACCTGAATCCTGAGTCTGGATGATTCTCCATATTCTGAAGTGCTGCACTCTTGATTTAGCAGCTGTTGCTTTGGTAATTCAAGCCAAGGTTTCCAAAAGCACATTCCCAAGCATTCCCACCAGACAAGCAGCACAAAGGAGAAGTGTCTCCTGTGAGGGGCTAGCAAAGGCAAAGGCAGGAATTTTTAGGACCCAGGGGAATCCACGGCAATTAATATGCCTTCAGTATGAGGAGTTCCTGCCCTCTCCGGGCAGGGAATCTCAAATATCCTGGCAACGGAGCTCCCTCCTCTCTTGACAGCTGCTTTCCTAGAACTCTGTTGCCATCTCTGTGCTGCTCGCCCTCCCAGTGACATGGGCAGGCTTTAAGGCTACACTATGAATGACCAATACCACCGTGCAGCCAGAGATGGCTATCTGGACCTGCTGAAGGAAGCCACCAAGAAGGACTTAAATTCCCCTGATGAAGATGGCATGACCCCAACCCTGTGGGCCGCCTACCATGGCAACTTGGATGCCTTAAGGCTGATAGTTAGCAGAGGGTAAGTCTGGTGTTTGCACTGTTCTGTTTTGGTTTTCATCCAGGCCTTGGTGGTGGTGGTGGTGGGGGGGAAAGTTCGTCCCTTCTTTCTGGGTATCAACTCCGCTGAATCTTGCAGGCCACTGAGATGACAGCAACTTTCATTTGTACCTGGTGGCAGGTGAGATGCCCTGAGTTCATTGTTGTTTTGGAGAAGGTCAGGGTTTCAGGAGTTCATTGTTGTTTTGGAGAAGGTCAGGGTTTCAGGATGTGCCCATCTATGAAGTTCTAGACTTATTGACAGTATTTGTCTCGAGACACTAGGAAAGCAGAAAAACTCTGACTTGGATCAGTTCCAAGTTTGGATGGGGTGAGGAGAAGAAATATTGAAGGAAGTTCCTTCAATATTTCTTCTCCTCACCCCATCCAAACTTTTAACAGCTGAATGTTTTGCTTACTTTGGTCTAGAACGGCCTCCATCACACCCCAAATTCTTGCAATGTACCCACCCCTTGGGTTTAACTGAAAACTTGGATGGGGTGACCTCATCGGTACGATTTTTTGCTGTTCGTGGATTGGCTGAAGAGATGCATATCTTTGCTGAGGGGAAGAAACTGTTTTGTTCTGAGCCTTCATTTGCACTACAGTCTGAAGAAATATTTCATAGAATCGTTGAAAGTCAAGGTTGGAAGGGATTTTGAACGGTTTCTATTCCAATCCCATGCCCAGTGCAGGACTCCATTTAGCATCTTAAGCATCTCCTTTCCAACATCCATTGAAAGAAGTGGGCTGATTAAGATTCTCAAAATTGTGATCAAAGGCAATTTCGATATAGGCAGTTATTTTCTATGATATAATCAGTGACGATATTAATTATAGAAAGAGTAGAGAAGGGAGGATAAAAATTCTGATGAAGGTAACAGAATTCTGAGGTTGTTCTTCTTGAGCTGAGCTTTACAAGAGGTAAAAGAGCTGGGTTATAGTAGAAGTAGTCCTCAAGTTATGGCCCTTTGTTCAGCAACTGAACAACAAGGGGGATTTATGACCGGTCTGTGAAGTTATGGCCTTTGCAGCATCCCCATGGTCACATGATTATGATCTGGGTGTTTGGTGCCTGGCTTGCAATTACAACATCAGAGCAAGTCAGTCACATGATCACCATTTGCAACCTTCCTTGCTGGCTTCCCACAAGCAAACTGAGTGAGGATGTAGCTCCTGTAAATTGTTCCTCCTACATTTTCCTCAAAAAGTCCCACTACAGAGTAGAACAGGGGTCTTCAAACTTAGTCCTTGTGGACTTGTGGACTTTAACTCCCAGAATTCCTCAGCCAGGCACACCAGGAATCCTATACTCTGCAGTGCCCCTCTGCTCATCTGGGACTCCCACCTCTTCTCACTTAATGACTATGGGGTTACAACAGCAACTGGGACTGCCAGAATTGCTGTTGCTAAGTGATGGGGTCACATGATGTTGCATTTTGTGACTGCATTGCTTAGCAATCTCAGTCCCAATTGTCATTATATGCTAAAGGTCATTTATAACACTTCTGTGTGATATAACTGGTCTTCTTCCCATTTTATAGATGAACCAGTGGTAATAAATCGGGGCTTGCCTAAGGTGAACCAGTGAGTAGTGGCATCTTTTTGAGCTACTTTCATGTCTAAAATATATTGCAATGGCATCACTGGTCCCCAAGATTTGGGGGACAAAAGGGGCATTGGTCTTACCTGAACGCCTTTTCTCAGTACGGAGATGGATAATCCACCGATGGGTTTTCTCTGTCTGCCTGCTCTTGAGACCAAGTAGCCAAAACTTGACACGCCCCCACTTCCTGTGGAGTCCATTCTTAACTTGGTCTCTGCTCGAGAAGACTCGTTTTGGTGTGGCTCTCAGCTTATCAGGTTAGACAAAGAAATCCATTGATTGATTATCCCTTAATAATTGGCTTCCCCTTCCCAAAAAATAAAAATAAAAAAAAATAAAAAATTGCCACCTATAGGAATTTAACCACAAATTTTTCTGGAGATCAGTCCTGATCTCAAACCTAAAATTAAAAGGGGGATTGGTGGGAGGGTAACTTCCCCACAGATATCAGCCAGCCCCAGGGCTCTGGGGGTGGAAAGGGGGGGGGAAGAAGGCATCAGCAGAGACTACTTGCTGAACCTTTTCCCCAACCACTAATTGTTCCTTGGGATCATCCCTGATCTTATATTAAAATTGAAAAAGGGGGTGTGGGGGGGAAAACTCCCCACGGATCCCAGCCAGCCCCAGGGCTCTGGGGGTGGAAAAGGGGGGAAAAAGGCATCAGCAGAGACCACTTGCTGAGCCTTTCTCCCCAACTTTCCAAGGGAATTTTTCCTCAATTGGGGGAAAAAATAACGATCTCCAGGTCCGGATTCAAACTTGAATTCGGATCGTCGGAGATTCCCTAGCAGCCCAGGGCAACCGCGGGCGCCATTTTAGTTGCCGCTTTCAGGCAACAAAGGCAATCCCCGGCTGGGATTCCCCTAAAATGTCACCAGCACGCCAAATTTAAATCCCTGGGCGCAAGCAGCTTCCGGGAGGCCGGGGAGCTCATTTTCAGAGGAAAACGAGCCGTGGCCACCCTCCTTTTAAAAAACCGAAGCACAGGAAGGGAGTAAGCCCCAACTAAGAACTGGGGGCTAGAGAACCCTCCTGGGAACCGCGAAGCCCGTTTTCAGAGAGAAACGAGCCGCGGCCGCCATCTCTTGCCAGAGGAAGGCAAACGGAGCTTAAGGAAACTCCACATCATATCTGGAAGCACTGATAGCGGCGGAATAGGAGCGCACAGCCAGTGCTCCACCCTGATATGCATATATAATAATAGGATAAAATATAATAATAATAAAAATAAATAAATAAATTTTAAAAAAAACTAAAGCTAAAAATTAAGCTACTGCATGGCCAACAGGCCTAAAGGCAGAACACACAATATCATCATCATCATCATCATCATTGTTGTTGTTGTTATTATTATTATTTTATTATTATTGTTGTTCCTATTATTATTATAATAGTAATAATATTAATAAGAATAAATTCCGCTCTAGGTGACTGCCATTTGATACCTTGTTGTGTATTAAGTCAGACCTACAGACCCTTTTGAGGTCGCCACTGATATTTTTTGCCTCCCTTTTCTTTTTTCTACTGGTGCACGTTGCCTGGTCACCTAAGGCCTTCGGGCAGAACCCAAAGAGTGGTTCCAAACATGCCTTCGGTACCTCCCTCAGCTACCATGACCTTAGCCCAGAGAGAATATTTTTGTTGTGGTTGGGTGATCAGGGGAACAGTCCTGGTACTTGTTCCAATTTCGCTCCCGCCAATACTTGCCTGCCTGAGCGTCATTGTCTTTGTCTTTGTCTTTGTCCTTTCAAATTCATGATTTCACAAATATAAGATACATATTAATAAATGGAAACAATATGGGTTCACTGAGGGATTTAAAAAAAAATATTTTTATGATGATATTATAACACAGATTCTTATAAGAAATTGATGTTTCTCCTGACTACCAAGTATGAAAACTATCTCTGATGTGCAGGCCTATGTCCCTTGTTTTTCATTTCTTGTATTTCTGAATTTTGCTGGATTCAGAACCCCATTTTTAAATATTGATGTACTGGACTGAATCAAGTAACAGAATTCTCTTTAAGTGCCACAACTGAGTAAACTAGTATTTTTCCTTTCTTACTGGAATTCATATCTCTTACTTTAAAAACACAGCCAAAAGCTGTAGGATGAGGTGGAAATTCAGAAATCCATATAATTCTGCTCTAAGGTAAAAGGCATAGAAGTTGGTTTCTGCAGAAAGATGCTCTTAGTACTTACAAGCTGAAGTAAATATTCCCAGCAAAGAATCTTTCTCACCGCCTGGCTAGTGTTTAATGAACTGAAAAAAAAAAGGCTTGCTGTCTGTTGAAGAATATAGTACTAAAAATGCTCCTGCCCTTTTGGCAAAGAATCTTATTAGGAAATGATAGATAGTCCTGATATTTTAAAAGAAGCTTCCTTCATTGGCTGTGTTTTATTGGGGGAGAAGAAATATTTACAGGAACGTAATTGAAATAAACAAAGAATTTGCAAGAGAGAGGGAGAAAGATTTACTATCTTAAGAAAAGCCAAAGCATTGAAGTTCAACAGTCAATGCTTCCCTTTTTAATTAACAACAGTTTCATTTTCTATGTGGGCAAAGATGAAATTTGAAAGTAAGGTTCAGAGAGCTGTGGGCTCAATTATTGCTTTTGCCCTTTGCAAAATTTCTGGGGATTTTTCTGAGTCAAAATCAAGCAGCTGTACTGTGGGCACAGAGTTAGTGAGAAATCACATGGATCTATATATCTGGTTTCTTCTTCAAGGCCATGTCTGCACTTGTACCTAACAAACCTAACAAACATGGTCTGGCAACATCATTTTTCTGCCATTGCTCCCATGATTTTGATTCTATAAGCAAGATGGACTTCAGTCATCCTTAGCTCTAGCATTATTGAAAGAATGTGTTTGCTGGTACTCTGACACCATCCAAGGGTAGCCACAAGATGTGCAAAATATGCCAGGTTTGGCCACCCTTCACCAGTGAGTTGAAGCAAAGTGATAAACAGGATAGGGATTGGCATCAAAGGCAACAAATTTTATGTTGGGAGACTTCTTTACTGATTCAAGAATGGGTGAATTGTGCATCAGGGCCTCAGCTGGTATCTCTCTTGTTCTATGCTTTAAGCATGGTGACTGAACTGTACGTTCATAGCCCTTACCCTACAGGTAAGAAATAGGATGCAATATTCCTGTCATACATTACATAACAGATGGATGGTTTGTGTATGTAAAATCTTAGTTCTAGATTGTTTCTCTCTTTGACTAGTTTCCAATGAATGGAAACCAATCAAGGAGAGAAGCAATCTAGAACTAAGGAGAAATTTCCTGACAGTTAGAATAATTAATCAGTGGAATACCTTGCCTTCAGAAGTTGTGGGTGCTCCACCACTGGAGACTTTTAAGAAGAG